GTGTCATCAGAAAGAGACAACTTAAATTTCTAGGACACGTAATGAGGAAAGAAGGTTTGGAAAATTTGACACTCGCAGGACATATTGAAGGTAAACTGAGAGAAGAAAACAGCGCATAATCTGTCTAACAAGCTTGTGTAAATGATTGAAAGGTAGATATTAGGAGATATAGCAAAATGAAAAAAATATCTTGAGAGCTACAAAGAACAGGAACTTGTGGAGAGCCATGAAAGGATACAGCACATAGAAGAAGACTCTTATCTTAGATGATGTTTGGGATAGTAACTACGTCATATATAAGATAGTACCTAGGAGGTACGGTGGAGTAGTGTATTGTAGTAGTGGATAGCGGTTCGGACTGGGGAATCGGAGAGCCGAGTTTGAATTCCAGTCGAATCCATTATATTCACTTACGTGCTAATACCTTTGGGAAAGGTATAAATTCTCCTCTTCTCCCCCAGCTATCAGTAAATAGCAGGACAGACCGTGTTCTATAGTCTTGGAGGGCAACTGGTCTCCTCAGAAAGAAATGGCAACCTACCGCGGGAAAAAATCTGCCTCGTCAGTCGTGTATCGAAAGATACACGACCGCCTAAGGGTGTATCACGCATGGCACATAACTGACTGACTTCATTTTAGTCTTGATCTTGTATACCAGCTTAAGTTGGGGTGGGGGCACACTCTGTAAAACAAACAATAAAAACTAAGATTGTTAGGATGGATGGTCATTGCCCACCCTTAATAGTCACCAGACTTAGCACCTACAAATTTTCAGTTTTACGTTCACGAGAACATTTCATTGGAACATTCAAAAACAAAGAAGTTGAAAACAGTCATTCAAACACTTTTCAAACTCGCCTTTTTTTAAATGTGGAATTGAAAATGTGTCCTTCCAGTTGGATTGTAATAGCTGAAATTACATTTTTGACGAACAATTTATAAGTAAATGTATCTTATATTTAGTTTTATGTTTCTGGTAAACTGTCATTACTTTCTGTTTTTTTTTTTTTGCGACATCAGGTCGGTTTAATGTGGGGAGCCCGAGCACGAACACCCGGGCAAGGAACAAAAATTTTTCCGAGCCTTCGCAACCGTCGGTTGCGCTGGCCTCGGTGCATGCACAGATCCTTCTCTCTAGTGCAATGAGAAGACGCAGTCTCGGGCAGCTGTTCCCCAGGACTGGGCACCTCTCTCAGCATAATTTTCCTCAGTTGCAACACTGTCCTTTGAGGGAGTTGCCCCTGACTTCACTCTGTCCAAGGACAGATGATAAATAGATGTGTTAGAAACTATTCGAAATAATAATTTACACACTAAAAGAGTGATATAGTGATTTTCTAAGCGCTGCTTAGATGCGGCACAAGGCCAACAGTATGGAGCACCCAGTGAGGATCGAACTCACTACTCAGTTGTAATTGTTCTAGCCTGACCAGCTTGCTAACCATTACCCCACGCCGAGGTGACCTGACGCCATTACGTTCTGTTATATAGGAATAAAGTGTCACTGCTGACACTTGCGTTCGAACGTAGATCGCCAGTTAACAAACACTGGCTATCTCATTAAACCAAGTAGATCACGTGACCATAGGAAAAAACGTATATATTGAGGAAGTCGTTTGACGTCTTAGTTGTGTTTTGCTTTCCTAGTCTATCCTCTATTACTGTATTCGCTATTTCTCCTCTATCCCCGATACTATTCGGACTGCTATTCTCTTCTCACTATACGAAGTACTATTACTGCGAGTATTATTCTAAGACGCCTGATATGAGTATTATTCAACGGTGCATTATAATTGGTATCTGCGATTACAAAGTCCTACTACGTTGGCATTGACGAAGTATCAAACAAGTATATGTTGACATCATAACAGTGGCAACAAAGGGTCGTTCTGACGACACAACACTTTCTGAACACAATCATATAAATTGATAAAAACAAAGAAAGAACGAAAAGGCAATGAATGTACTTACATTTTTCCCAACTTGAACCGTATATCTGCAATAGTATAAATAAATATATAAATAAATAAATAAAAAAACAACCTCGCCCGATACTATGGCCTCAGCTTCTTACTGCAGCGACAGTAGACATATGACATTCTTAGTTGAACTGTTTAAACTCTATTCAAAACAATAAGCGTTGGTCCTGTCTCGATAGGTGTCCTATCTGAAAAAGGTCACCAGCCGACCGTGACATTTTTGACTAAGATGACAACAATGATGACATTAACACTAAGTTCGAATCTGTCGGATATGGAGACATTACTTCATGACTGCTGCAGATTCTGATGGATTGATGCATATGGAAATCAAGCAGTGCTTCACGGCTTTTTTGTTTTGCTTCAAGTTCTTCGCGTTCTGGGTTGATATTTTTTATGCCATTTATGATATTGTTAATGTCAGAGCTGAGGGTGAGGATGTTATTTTAGTTGTCATGAATTGATAATAAGAATACTAATACAGTGTAACCCGGATGTAAGAGAGTTGTCGGGACCGGAGAAGAAGTCTCTTATATCCGGGTTTCTTTTATATCCGGGTTTGGTCTATTTTATATACATTAACACAGGATCTAATTTGGGACCAGAAAAATCTCTCTTATATCCGGGTTTCTCTTATATCCGGGTCTCTTATATCCGGGTTACACTGTACCACTAATAATAATACTACAATTAATAACTAACGGAGTGGTGGAAATTCCATGAGTTTTGACAATTAAATATATAATCAATTGTCTTACTTACATACACATTTCGCCTGCTGCTGACAAAAGATGCTCTTATATGAATGTTAAATATAAATTTGCATGTATAAATTAATAAATAAAATAAGTTAGATCCGAAAATAGAAAGAAAGAAAGAAAGAAAGAAAAAAATTTTGTAATTTTGTGAAAGAAAGAAAAGAAAGAAAGAAAGAAAGAAAGAATCAATCAATCAATAATGGGGGTAATATTAAGAAAGAAAGAAAGAAAGAAAGAAAGAAAGAAAGAAAGAAAGAAAGAAAGAAAGAAAAAAGAAAGAAAATTTTGTAGAAAGAAACAAAGAAACAAATAAACAATCAATAATAGGGGGTAATATTAATAAAGAAAGAAAGAAAGAAAGAAAGAAAGAAAGAAAGAAAGAAAGAAAATTTTGTAGAAAGAAAGAAACAAACAAATAAACAATCAATAATCATGGGTAATATTAAGAAAGAAAGAAAGAAAGAAAGAAAGAAAGAAAGAAGGAAAGAAAAAAGAAAATTTTGTAGAAAAGAAACAAAGAAACAAATAAACAATCAATAATAGGAGGTAATATTAATAAAGAAAGAAAGAAAGAAAGAAAGAAAGAAAGAAAGAAAGAAAGAAAGAAAATTTTGTAGAAAGAAAAAACAAACAAATTTCATGAATATTAAAAAGAAAGAAAGAAAGAAAGAAAGAAAGAAAGAAAGAAACAAACAAACAAACAAACAAACAAACAAACAGTCAATAATATCGGGTAACATTAATAAAGAAAGAAAGAAAGAAAGAAAGAAAGAAAGAAAGAAAGAAAGAACGAGAAAGAGAGAACGGATAACAGTAAGAAAGAAAGAAACAACGAAATAAAGAAAGAAAATCTGACATTAAGAAACAACAAAGGAAAAAGAAAGAAAGGTTGATAAATATTTAAACCAAAAAAAAAGGAACAATACGGAAAAAATGAAAGAAACAAAAAAAAGAAAGAAAGAAAAGAAAGAAAGAAAGAATGTGTAATATTAAGGTGAGTGAGACACAATGATACCAGATACTTCCGTCGTGTCGGTTGAACAGCGGTCATCAAGTCCAGTTCTTAATGGCCGTACATACAAGCAAGCAGAATAATAACTTGCATTTGAAACAGTCCCACATAGATTAGAATCGTGATTGGAGGAATCTGACTTGAAGAAGAGTTGTAACTTCCCAAACCAGATTGTTTGCAACATCTGCGAAGATACTAAGAAAGGTAGGCATATTCAAAATCGTTTCCGCGTCCTTGTGGGGGATGAATTATTATCCACCCTAAAACTCCTTTCACACGGACGTCGCAAACCTCCCACTACTCTGTCGCTATTTGCATAGCGAATTACATTCCTTAGTCCTGACCATTACAGCTAAGAAACACCATGTCACATACACAGGGACGAATCATTATCGACGCCTTTTTTATTCCATTAGTAAGGAGGTTCCACTTGAAAAGTTTCTTCCCTAGAACTACTTTATAGAACAAACTCCCAATAGGATGTTTTCCCGATCACTACAATCTTAAAAGTCGAGGGTTAACCAGTATCTCTTCTAAATAACCTCATAAACTACACTTCTATCCTATTCTTATGCTGATACATTATTTTGTAACCCTCTACCTTGAGTGGCACTTGGGTCTTGTATTGGGTGAACATAAGTGTAAAAAGGAAGAACAGGTAACGTTGATCAAAACCATTGGGAATTGAAGAGATGATATTGGAATGGGGTTTCGTATAAAGAAATTGAATCTACTAGTGAGGCATAACGTAAAAGCAGGTAGCAACAGAAAGAATTGAACAACTTTATGACAAAACTACGAGGCTATTAACGAGCAGTCATAGCAAAGTCATAATAGAGAAAACCTAGGAAAGGCATCATATAAGAATGAGTTGGTAGTGTGAACGATGTAATTTTACAAAAAAAGGAATATAAAAAAATTACAACTATCATATGTTATGCTATGTTAAAATAACTGTAGTTGCAAACATGTGAAAAAAAATCGTATAAACTGTAAACCCGAATTAGAAGAGGCTATACTGGAAAATAAAACAAAAAACAAACAAAAAAACGCTTCGAATTTCACATCGAGATCGGCCAATTCATCCAAGATTTGACAGTCGTAAACAAAGACAAGAACATCAGTGGACTGAAGATTAACAACGTAAAAACATCTCTTGATAAATAAGAAACCTCTGCAACGTGGACGTTACGGTTTCGTCTATAGTAGTTAACATATTTGAAACGCTGTCAGAAGAGGTTAGAATATGTTATGGTCCAGGTTAGGACCAAGGAAGAACAACACGAACACAAGAGTAGAAATAACGAAGGCATATTACACGAAATAATAATACGTGGAAGGTGTTAGTATGACTGTCAGTCTGGTTTGGAGTGAACAACTATCGGCTCGATTCGATTAGGTATCTAGCCACCCCCCATGAGGGTTGCATGTGGCACAAGGCCGAGTTTTACGTAGGCTCGGCCAAAAAATGTCCGTAGAACCCGTATAAACGGGACCGGGTTGGTCAACCTCCCAGAACGAGACTCTGCCCTTCGGCGGAGCCTCGTCCGGGTTCCTCTCTACAGACAGAGAGTTCGACCGTCAAGCCGGGAAGCTCGACTCGATTCGTCCCTCTCTCTTGAGGGGCGTAGTATACATAGTGTAATGAAGAGTTCATTGTGTAGTTATAGGTAAGGACCCATGACAGAATCGAAATTGAATGCGTTAGAATTCAGCAAATATGTGAAAATAATAATAATAATTATTATTATTATTATTAATATTATCTGAAATTGGTTAGACAAAACTATTTGCAAGCCGTCCATGGTTGAGCTAGCAAGAAGTAGCCAGTCATTGTGACTGAGGGTTTGAATGTACTGGCCTTGTTCAGACTGTCAATCACGCCAGATTATGCGCTCTCCGAGAAACTCTAACTCAGCTCCACTCAGCATAGTTGCAGTATAAACCATAGGTGGGCAGTGTGGATACTGAACAAACGCAAATGTGCCTGAGCAGGCGTCTGCAATAGGGATTGACTAACTGCCGTGCCAGATAGGCATACTCAGATAAGAGCGGCCAGCCATTACTTATTTATTATTGTAAACTATACATATTGGTGGGAAATAAAATAGAAATGGAAAGAGTTAATCATCAATCGATGGCGTCAATCTGCTTTAGAGCACAATGAATAAGAGAACGTTTGGACTTTGTGAGTTGAAGAAGGTCACAATCTCACCAGTTGCCATTAGTGTACTTGCTACGGTTCCCGGCAGAATAGAGACATGGTTAAGGAAAATTGGCACGGATTACTCAGATGAACTGTTGCAGAATGAAAGAAAACCTCCCAGAAATGGCAAGAATATTCCGGTAATGTCACCCACAGTGTCAGCTTTTGCTGAATGCTTGGACAGAAAGAATACAAGCACCGCTATGACAAAGTGGCCTCTCATCTGCATTGGTGCCTGTGAGGAAGTCTGAATTTGAAGACGACGAGAAATGATACGAACACAAATCAACACAAGATCAGTGGAAAATATCATGAAGCCATTTTTGACTTCAGGTCTCTGGGAACTAGAAGGAAATGTATATACGACAGAAATCCAAGGAAATAATAATAATAATAATAATAATAAAAAAATTCAAGAAACTTGAAATTGAAATCTGAAAAATGCAGCACATGGGGACATCAATAATTCCAATTGAAATTGGAGTCGTCGTTTTGCCTGGAAATAGGTCCAATAGAGTTATTGAAGGAGTCCTTGGTTGTAGCTTTAAAGAAAAACAAAAAATTGTATTTATAAGTACAGCTCACACTTTACTGAGGGCTTTATCGATTAAAAATATGTGTGTCGTTAGGTTTTATGTTTTGTTATTTTTCAAAAACTACTCAGTGGAAAATGTCATTAGGTCTCTGGAAAGGAAAAGAGTATACAAAATAAATCAACGGAAATAATAATAATAATAATAATAATAATAATAGTCATTCACAGAAAGTCATGAATTTAATATACTTGATATGGGAGGTTCGAGCGCCTCGGCGTGGTGTAATGGTTAGCAAGCAGGTCTCGCTACAACAGTTTACAATTGAATACTGTGTTCGATCCTCACTGGGTGCCCCATACTTTCGGCCATCTCAATACTTGATATAGGATGTTAGCATATATATATATATATATAAAACCCCATTGAAGCTATAGTTCGTTACATTTTCAAGTTTGATCTTAAATTTACGTAAAGAAAAACCAAATCGAGGTTCGATCAAATTGACGCCATTTTATTTTTTAATTTCACGCTGTTTAAATTTTTTGACAACTGCACAGTAGTAGTTCTTTCTGTGAGAAAAGGAGCATCTTTTCAGTCTGCCAGATATTTGGAAACAGCATGTTATTATTTTATTCATGCTCAAATCGTTTCAGACAGTTCGTTCTTTGAGGACAGTGTAAAGGAATGAACTTTTGTTTTAGGGCCTCAAACACAACACGGAGGTCTACATCAAGAGCCTTGAGGAGGTATCCCCTGAGGCACGTGGAAGACCCTTGATCTACATCACCCTCTTACATCTGACCAAACAGACTGAAACCCCTAAATAAACAGTTGAGCAAGTTCCAAAAAACTCCTTGTAAATCCAAAGATACCTGAACGCAAGGATTATGTACCTTAAACAGGGTGACCGTCCAGAAAGTTGAAGGAGATTCTGAAGTAGTATCATCAATTCATTTTATTGAATAAATGAGGACAAGTATTTCAAGATATTTTTGAATATTTGGTTAAATATTTGTATAAATAATTTAATGACAATTTATCCATCGCACCCTGTAATTCAAACAGATTATAAAAAAATTAACATAAATATAAAAAAAAATGAAACGAAGAATCATGCAGACTTAAACCAAACTGGAAGTTTCCAGGGGAACAACTTGTAACGATAGTAAAATCTCATATAGATATATTTACAAGTATCGATTCGTGTTTGATCTTAATTCGCAGCAGAAATCGGGTATCAAATCAAATTAGCTGTTGTAAACTTGACAACTAGTTCTTTTATCTTTTGTCGGGGAACGATTATTTTAGCTCAAATCGTTGAGACAGTGTTCTTTATTAGAATGCTTCTTTATATGGCGTATCCCCTGAGCACGTGATTGATCTACGTGGGAAAACAGATTAAATAAACGGTTCAGTTCAAAATTCCTTAGGTTACCTAAATTTTCGAAACGTAGTGATATCATCATCAAAAGATTGAATAACTCGAATATTTATTAATAAACAAAATTCAGACAGATTATAAATATATATATAAGCAGTAGAGACAGGGCGTTTCCTTCGGGATGTAACAGTAAGAGATAGATCAAGTATCGACCATCATAAAGAATGAAAAATAAAATTGAAAAATTATTGTTTAAGGTTGACGGACACGCATGTCTTAATTAGTTTTTTTTTTTTTTACAAATTGGTCAAACCCAAACTCTTATGAGTCTACTTTGAATAGAAATTATAAACAATTGTCTTGTAAAAAATTGGATTCTGAATGTAAAAATAAATAAAAAAGTGAACACAAAAGAACACAATCACAAAATGGAGAAATCATCCCATATATAAAATGAACACACACACACACACACACACACACACACACACACACAACCAACCAACCAACCTGGTTTTATAATAACTCAATATTATAAGTATAACTCGATATGAGTTGTCCCTCTTTCATTAATGCCCCTTAATCGTGTTTTCAAATTGATTTCGTGCAAAAACAATTGTGTTTTTCCAATTTTTGGCGCTGTTAGAACCACGGCAAGGTAATTTTACGTAGTCCTGTGAAGTTTTGTTGAAATCGGTTGAAAAATGTAGGAAATCCGATCCAATATATAAACGTACAGACACACCCACACACACACAATCTGCGTTTTATAATAAGTAAGATATATATATATATATATATATATATATGGTTGGTCATTGTCTTTAAAACAATCCAAATTGTCTGGGGTAGGAAATGGCTTGTAAATTTTAATGCCTTCGAAACGAAACGGCTCTCATTTAGCCACCATAGAGACAATTCCCTGTCCGCCATTAGCATGGTTGGTGCTAGAATCCAGGATAGTGTCCCACTGTGCCTATTTGGCCTCACGCTTTCGAATGACTTGAAGTTAAACAACTATATTGAATCAATAGCTGCATCTACTGCAAGGAAAGTTGGCTCACTGTCAGAAGGTTTTTCCTCATCAGAGTCCATCTTAGATATCTACAAATCTACAATTCGTCCTTGCAATGAATACTGTTGCCATATCTGTTCTGGTGCCCCTGCTGTTCATTCCGAGGTTCTCGACAAAATCCGAAGAAGAATCTGCAATATAATCGATCCTGACCTGGCATCTCGACTTCAGTCCCGTTCCCATAGACGTGATGTGGCTTCCCTCTGTCTTTTCTACAAATATTTTCATGGCAACTGTTGGGACGAGATTTTTTCCCTTGCTTCCCCGGCTTCATGAATTTGAGCGCGCTACTAGACTGGCATCTAGGTCCCACCCTTTTGCTGTCGAAATAGTTAAATGTAACCGCTATTTCCACTCCAACAGTTTCTTTTCTCGCACTGTCTTACCATTATGTGGGAAGCAGTTCTAGGAGGGATATGTAGAAGGTATTTCTGCCGCACACTGTATTTTTTTTTATTACATTCTCCTTCTCTTCCTTTCTCGCTTAGTTACTTCTTTCTAATTCTAATTCCCTCTCTTCCTCCCTCCTTCTTTCAATTTCCTTTTTCTTCATCGTTTCTTTCATTTGTTCTTTCGTTGTCTTTGTCATATATCTATTCATGCTTACACCATTTTCTTTCTTCTTTACCCCATTTCGTTCTTGCCTTTACACGTCTTTTCCCCTCCACCACCAATTTTTCTATGTTTTACCTTCTTTTCCTTTTTTTTCTCTATCTTTTTCATCTGTTCTTTGCTTCATTGTCGTTTTCTTTTTTATCCGCCTCCATTTTTTTTTCTTCATTCTTCATTTTCTTTCTTCCTCAGCTTCGCTGCATTTTTTTTTTTTTTCCTTTTTAATTTGTTGTTCTTTCTCGGTTTTATTTAATCATTTATTGTTTTTCTTTCATTGTTATTTTTCCTTTCTTTTTTCTTTCCTCTTCCTTTTCATCTTCTCCTCCTTCCTTCTTCTTCTTCGTTTTACATATTTCCTTTCATTTTTTTCCACTGCTTTTAGCCTTTATTATTTTGTTTTCTGTCTTTCTCCCTCTTTCTTATTCCCCTTTCATCTTTTCTTTCTTTTGTCATATGTTTTCTCTGCTTTCGACTTCCTTAACTTCCCCTTTACTTCCTTCTCCTTTTTCACTTTCTCTTTCTACTCTTCCTACCCTTTCTTCTTTAACTCTACTGCTTTCTTTCTTTCTTTCTTTGTTTCTATCTTTCTTTCTTTCTTTCTTTCTTTCTTTCTTTCTTTCTTTCTTAGCCTCCTTCTCCATATATTCTTGTTTCTTTAAGCTCCTACATTTCTTTCTTTCTTTCTTTCTTTCTTCATTCCGCCCCTTTCTTTTTTCTCGTCTCAATCTTTCTTCTTCTTCATCCCCATCTTTTGTATCATTCTTCTTTCCTCCTCTATTTTCTTCTGTTCTTTCTCTCTTCCTTTTCTTTATTTTCCTTCCTTCTTCGCCATCTATTCTTTCTCCCTATTTTTGAGTCTACCTTCATTCTCTCTTACTTTTATCTTCCTTAATTTCCTTCCTTCCCGTATCTCTTTTCCTCTTTTTTCCATTAATCATTCGTTTGCCATTAGATCTAATTATAGATAGACAAATGCAATTCAACAGATATCATTAAAATATTCGATATAATCAGTAATTTTCTGTATTAAGTTGATGCAAAAGTTTCTAGACTCAGGTCAAGATTAAAACTACTAATTATGGAGAACTAAGCAAAAATGAAACTATCTGCATCTGTAATAGTTTGCTAAACAGGCAGTCAAATAAACCGGCCATACTCTAGTACAAGGTCACAATTACGATTATAATGATCAAATTTCAGAATGATGACCGTCGTAACACTGAAAAACATTCTTTCTTGCGCAATGTATTGAAATTTTCTTTCCAGTTTTTTTCGGTCCACGGGTTTCAGAGTAATTTTTTTTTAATTAAAAGATGCTAAGAGAAAGTATCCAAGGGAGATAACTGTTAATTACACAGCCATTTCATTTAACTTGCTTGCACTCTCCTCTCCATCAGGTATAATCAATTAACAATGACAATAACACGGTAAATAATAATAATAATAATAATAATAATAATAATAATAGGTTATTTTATTTTTACTTCAAGAATGGCAACACCCAACAAGAGTACTATGCGACCTATTTTAGAATAAGTCATTGAAAGACCAATAAGTTCTTGTTGACTCTGTTTGGGAGGCAGAAAACTTAAAACAGTGAGAAAATCTGTATTTCAATTAGTATTATGTTGATTTGCGTAATTTCTCTATTATTTTGTGTTCAAATTAAATAAAATTTGACACAGGCAAAACCACAATATATATATATATATATATATATATATATATATATATATATATATAGATATATATATAGATATAGATAGATAGATAGATAGATATGTATATTGTGTGTGTGTGTGCATGTGTATGTGTGCGTGTTATTTTTGCTTCTTCAAATGACGTTATACAGACCATTCACACAGTAACAGATGTCTGACATGTCTGCCCGACAGATCTTTGGAGGAGACAAAAAGTCAAAGTTAATGTTTTCATATGCTCTTCTACTTTATTTTCTTCTTAATATTTAGAGCCACCTGATATATATATATATATATATATATATATATATATATATATATATATATATATATATATATATATATATATACATCTCGATATGTTGAGAATATATATATATATATATATATATAAATAATTATCGCTCTACTATCAGTATCGAACCCTCTAAATTAATGCTGTGAATGTTAAATTTATATATTATTTTTCGTTCTCATTGCATCAGTTATATATATATATATATATATATATATATATATATATATATATAATTTTATATATATATATAATTTTATTTTTTTCTCTCATCCACCAATAGAAATAGATTGCTTCGCCTATCGTCCGCTTCACACTCCTCGTCGGCCTTTTGTATATGAGTAGAAGTTTACCTTTTTTTTTTTCTTTTGAATTGGGTTTCCGGTTTTTTCTAAAGTCTAGTTCAGAACTATATTCCTAACGCTTGTCCTTTCCTACGCTAATATACTAATATACGTTGACACATTAACCCTTTACTTTCAGTGATTCCTTGGCCTAGTATTGGGTGAACATTACTAAAAATAAAATAAATAAACACACACACACACACATATATATATATATATATATATATATATATATATATATATATATATATATATATATATATATATATATATATATTATACTATATTATACTAGCATACATATATATTATACTATATTATACTAGCAGCATGGCCTGGCGTTGCCCGTGCTTGATTCAAAAATCGTACGACTCATACAGCAATCGCTATCACTAGATTTAAAATATTTTTGCCCTTCCTTGCCTTTAAAGGAGTGCCCTTTGCTGTGCTGATGTTGCTACATGCCTTACTTCTTGCCTAAGCTCTATACTAAACATTAAATCTGTTACGAAAAAAGAACTAAACAAAATGAACACAAAACGATCAGCTTTAAAAAAGGACTCGTAACTGGAAAAAACCGAATGATAAAAGAATGTTAACAACAAATACTTTTTCACACCTAACCCAGTTCTGCGGAATCAGAATCAACGTTGAGTTTAAGCAAGTGAATGAGACAATTGGAGTAAAGTGCCATGCAGATTTAAATTTTTCCCACTTATGACGAATGCAGCTATCGATTTTTTTTTGCATGCTAGCATGCTAGTTAACATTCGTGTCAGTCAGCTGTTGGCTCTCACGCTGACCAATAGAATCTTCTTGCCTATTCGTGGCAGCCAGCTATATGCTTTCATTCTGGCTAGTAGGAAATGGCCGCAAACTACATGAAAACTGCCGTAGAAGCATGAAAAAATCGATTGTTTCCACTATCGATGGGAGTTGGGAAATGCGATGTCAGTCTTGGCCTTCCCGCTAACTTGGAGCATATGCATGTAAATTTTGGTGCAAATCCGTCGAAAATTGCGGCCGTGCATTCATTACACAAACACATACACATCCTGCCTTTTATAGATAGAGGTATATATTTATATATACATATATATATATATATATATATATATATATATATATATATATATATTATAAGAGATTATAATAAAAACATTTTTAAATCGCTACACGAAGCGCTTCATGTTACAATAATGTGATTATAATTCGTCTGGCGATGGTAGGTGATAAAATGATTTTTAAGGTAATTTAAAAACAAACTGTTCCCTATTTTTCGAAAGTTAAAGTGGGGGACATGAGGTCAGAATTAAAAATAGACTTGTTGGTATGTCTTGATTAACCAATTAAATGTCAGATCTATGCTAAATAGAAAAAAAAAAAAAAAGAAAGAAAGATATGCTCAAAAAAGGATTTACGATAAGAGAAATCCGAATAAAGAACGAATGAACATGAGATGAAAGGTTGCAAAAAAAGGAAACAAATTTGAATAAAAATGAATGGAAATTAGATAAGGAAGAAAGGTACAAAAATCGATGGATAAAGAATAAATAGAAAAGAAAAAAAATTAATAATGAGTAATGAGACATGGTGGATAAAGTCAGAAAATTTAAAAATAGAAACGCACAAGAACTATAAAAGTGAAGGAGAGGAAAATAGGAAAAGTAAATATGAAGGATAATGAAAATAGAATAAAAGAAGAAAGAAATAAAAAAAAAATAAAACGAACAAAAAAAAAGAATGATATAAAATAGAGTAAGGAATGAATGAAAATATGAAAAAGAAAGAATCAATAAAATAAAGGAAAATGCAATACGTTAAAGAGAGGGTGAAAAGTATGAGAGAACGGAAAATAAGGATGAAAGAAAGAAATTATAATGAAGACAAAATAAAAAGAGAAGGAAAGACGACATTATAAAGAACGGATGAGAATAGACTAAAGAAAGAAAGAAAACAAAATAAACAAATAATTAAAAATGAGGGAATAAACAAAATAACGAATGACTAAAAAGAAAAAAAAAATAAAAGACTGGATCATATTAAGAAATAGCAGAAGAAAAGTGAGAGAAAACTATGATAAACAAAGAAAAAAACCAATAAAGAATGAGAGAACGTAAAATAATCAAAACGAAAACAAGAAAAGGAAAGAAATTGTGTAGAATTTTCGAGAGGAAAAAGAAAAATATAGCCTATGGTTCAATAAGTTGTAGCGATGGTAAGGAAGAGAAATGTCAAGTTTGGGTACCTTGACCAGGGTTAAGATGTCATCTTAACTATTTACCGTAAGTACGAATGCCGAAATAAAGTCGGCCGATATGACAGCTGCTAAGAAAAGGATGGAAATTTATAAGCCAGATTTCTAATTGATTCAAAGACGTTTTACGTGGGTGTGTTTTTATTTATTACCGTCTCCAGCAAATGTTTTAGGAAACAATGTGCCAAGTACATTAAAAATTATACAACTTAAAACTGCGATTGGGGATTTAATCCTGAATTGAAATCGAGATAAACGACAAAGAAAATAATATATTGATCTTAAATCTTTCTTTCTTTCTTTCTTTCTTTCTTTCTTTCTATCTCTGTTCATTCATATCTATCTATCTATCTATCTATCTATCTATCTATCTAACAACCAGAAGCAAATCACCTATACCAAACTGCCTCATCGTCCTGCCGACAATACCGGTGTTGTTTGCAAAAAGGTTTGTGATGAGCCATATGGTGGTAAGCAGGATGTTTGTAGAACATACAAATCCAATCAATCCAATCGAGGATAGAGGGTTTATCTTTCATATATGCCTTATACCTATGAAATGGGATGCTGGTCTCAAGAATCATCTTAGAAGCTATGGGTGTCGAAATGAGACGGAAACTTACAAGTGATACGAGAGGTGAGGAGGCGGTTCTCACCTGAGTAAGAAGTGATAATCACCATTTGACTCTCTGACTCTCTCTCACTTACTCATTCTCTCTCTCTCTCTCTCTCTCTATATATATATATATATATATATATATATAAAATAAAAAGGCTTAAACACTAATATTCCATGGTCATAATTTATTCCATTGGAATCGTAAATACGATCCAATTCATCAGACCAACAAATTCAAAAAGAAAACAGAAAAAACAACTCCAAGAATAAAAAATAAAATTTAGTGAGAGTGTATGTATGAGAGTGTGGGACGAATGTTAGAGTAAATGAAAGCTATAGGGGGGGGGTAACAGACGAGAGAAGAACAGGAAGGTCTAAAGATGAAGGGGGGATTAAAATTTAACAGAGAGAAGTTTTAAAGAGGGGAGTCAAAGACGGTTTAAGTGAGAGAAATATGAATATTCTCGGATGTCTAATACATTAAAGATACTCCGGAAAAGTGTATACATTTTGTGGTGACATACACGCACAATAGACGATATAATCTCAAAGATCAGAAGATGAGAGAGGTAGAGGAAAAGAAAAGAAAAAGGGAGTGGGGGTGAGTGATGGAGTGGGGGATTTTAGATATATTATT